AAAAAAAAAGTTTACAACAAATGGTGCTGTGAAACCTGGACATCCACATGCAAAAGAGTAAAGCTGGAGCCTTACTCTATACCATCTACAAAAATTAACCCCAAATGAATTAAAGATGTAAAACTAAGATCCAAAACTATAAAACTCCTAGAAGAAAACATAGGGGAAAAGCTGTATGACATTTAATTAAGCAATGGATTTCTTGGGATTGACACCAAACACATGGGAAACAAAAGTAAAAATAGACAAAAAGGAGTACATCAAACTTAAAAACTTTTGTGTATCAAAGGACACAATCAACAGGATAAAAAGTCAACCTACAGAACGGGAGAAAATATGTGCAAACCATACAGGTGATAAAGAATTAATATCTAGGAAATATACACACACACAAAAAAAAACTCCCACAACTCAATAAAAAATCAAATAACCCAACTAGAAAATAACCAAAAAAAATTATAATTGATATTACTCCAAAAATGATATATGAATGTCCTAAAAACACATAAAAAGATGCTCAGCATCACCAATCAGGGAAATGGAAATCAAAATCACCATGGGATACACCACTTTATATCCATCAGAATGGCTACTATCCAAAAAGAAAAAAAGTGAAAACAAGTGTTGGTGGTGATATGAAAAACTTGGAACCCCTGTGTACTGTTAGTGGAAATGTAAAATGGTGCAATCATTATGGAAACAATATGGTGGTTCGTCACAAAAATTAAAATTTAAACTACTGTATGATCCAGCAATCCAACTTCTGAGTATATAACCATAAGAAGTGAAAGCAAGGTCTTGAAAAGAAATCTGCATACTCACATTCATAATAGCACTATGCACAACAGCCAAGGGTTGTAAGCAACCCTTGTCCATCAAAAGATGAATGAATAAAATGTAGTATATACAATATAAACAACAGAATGTTATTCAGCCTTAAAAAGGAAGTAAATTCTATGACAACCTACAACAGGGATGAACTTTGACAACATTATACTAAGTGAAATAAACCAGTCAGAAAAACAAAAACTTTATGAACTCACTTATACAAGGTATCTAAAGTAGTAAATTCATAGAAACAAAGTCAAATGGAGGTGGCTAGGGGAAGGGAAAAATGGTTTCAGTTGTTCAATGGGTGCAGAGCTTCAGTTTGGCAAGATGGAAAAATTCCACAGCTCTATTGCACGATAATGTGCACTAACACTAATGAACTGCACAATTAAAAATGGTTAAGATGGCAAATTGTACATATTTTTTGCCACAATTTATGGGAGGTGGGGAAAAGGACAGGCAAATGGACTGCAGAATACTGAAGACCCAGGTGAAGTTGGAAATCTGAGATTTATAGTGACACCAATCTAGAAATGCAATTTAGAAGTGCAAAGATAAAACCAGTCACCCAAAAAGAGCTTTAGAAGCAGTATTTTTATTTTTATATCACAAAAGCTAATAGGAAAAAACTTAACTAGATAAAAGAATAGCTATTTAAATAGTCATATCACAATAAAAAAAAAAAAAGAAAAACACTAAAATTGACTCTAGACATCCAGCTTCCAGTCTGGCATGTAAGGAGCTTAGAAGTAGCCACTCTGTCCTAACAAAAGTAAAAATTTGAACAAACTAAAAAAAAAAATACAACTCATTTTAGATCCATGAGAGAAGTTAAGGTCACTAACTGCCCCTCAAAATTGGAGACAAATTCAGAGAATCAAACCTCACCAGAGGAGAAACCTCCACAGGAGCCAGTGCCAGGGTAGGAAAACCTAAACTGTAACTGACAATTGTTGGAAACTCAGGGTGGACAAGTCTGATATAAAAACCCCATCAAGTTACTCAAATTCTACCAAGCACATCATGCCCATCTGTAAGAAAAAAAAATGACAAGGCTACTAAAAGGCAAAAAACAGTTTAAAGAGAGAGAGCAAGAAGCACCTGTGTGGCTCAGTCAGTTAAGCGTCCAACTCTTGATTTCGGCTCAGGTCATGATCTCAGGGTCATGGGATTGAGCCCTGCATCCCACTCCACGCTCGGTGGGGAGTCTGCTTCTCCTCCCTCTCTCTCCCTCTATCCCTCGCCCTGCTCACACGTGCGCTCTAAAATAAATAAATCTTTAAAAATAAATAAAAATTAAAATATAGAGCAAGCATCAGAATGAGACTCAGATATGCAAGAGATGCTGGAATTATCAGACTAAGAATTAAAATATGTTTAATACACTAAGGACTCCAATGGATAAAGTAGAACAAATGAGCAATGTAAGCAGAGAGAGAAAAATTGTAAGCACAAAAAGAAATGCTAGAGAAAAAACATTAGCATAGAAATGAAGAAAAGCCTTTTGATGGACTTACTAATAACCTGGACATGGCTAAGAATCTCCAAACTTAAGGCTCTCTCCAAAAAAATCTACAAAACTGAAAAGCAAAGAGGAAAAAAAAAAAAAAAGACAAACAAAATATCCAAAAATTGTGGAACTACAAAAGGAATAACATCCATGAAATAAGACTACAGGAAAGAAAAAAGATGAAAAACAGAAGAAATATCTGAAACAATAATTACTATGGAATTCCCCCAACTTAATGTTACACAAAAAAAACGCACAAATCCAGAAAGCTCAAATCCAGCATGCTCAGAGAACATCAAGCAGAATAAATGCCAATAATAATAATAATAAAACCTATGCATATCATATTCAAACTACTGAAAATAAAAAACAAATGACATTTAAGCTAGAGAAGACCTCACCTACGAAAGGAGCAAAAGAAAGAATGACATTTAACTTCTCAAAAACTATGCAAGGAAGAAAAGAGTGGAGTGAAATATTTCAAGTTGAGAGAAAAAACAACCAACCTAGAGTACAGTACTCCATGAAATTTTTCTTCATAAGAAATGGAAGAAATATTTCCTCACACAAAATTGAAGGAATTTGTTACCAGTACATCAGCCTTACAAAAGATGTTGGTAACAGTTATTTAGAGGGAAAAAAAATGATACAGCTAAAAAATTCACATCTACATAAAAAAAAATAGGAAAAGTGAAGATAAAATAAAAACTTCTATTTTTCTTTTTTTAATTGATCTAACATATACCAGCTGTTCAAAACAATACCAACATGTATTTCCATTATGTAGGAAAAATGTATATAAAATTTGTGTTTATATATATGCTCACGTATTTTATAAAAAAGTAAAATATATGATGGCAATGACAAAAAGAAAAGGAAAATTTAAGATTATTTTGTTATTATGAGGTACTCACATTACCCATGAAATAACGTAGTGTTATTTGAAAGTAGACTTGGATTAGTTGTAAATGTATACTGCAAACTCTAAGGCAGCTACCAAACAAGTAAAAAAAAGTTTAACTGACATGCTAAAAAAGGAGCAAAATTGGAGTCACAAAAAATGCTAAGTGAAAACAACAAAACACAGATTAAGAAAGGAAGACAAAAAAATAAGAACAAAGAACAAGGACAACAAACAGAAAATAGCAATAAATATGATAGCTCTTAACCCAACCATATCAATATTAATTAGAACGTCAATGGTCTAAGTCTACCAATAGAAAGATAATTTTTAATCCACTCTGACAATGTCTAAGATTCAACTATACGTTGTCTACAAGAAATCCCAATTAAATATAAAAACCCATATAGATTAAAGGTAAATGGCTGAAGAAAAAAAAAAAAAACACTAACTCACAAAGATATATGCATCCCCATGTTCACTGTAGCATTACTTACAATTGCCAAGACATGAAAACAACCTAAGTGTCCAATGACAGATGAATAAAGAAAATGTGGTACATATATTCGATGGAATATATTCTAACCATAAAAAAATGAAATCTTGCCATTTGCAATAAGATGAATGGATTTCAAGGGCATTATGCTAAGTGAAGTAAGTCAGAGAATGACAAATACAATATGATTTCACTTATATATGTGGAATTTCAAAAACCAAAACAAAGACTCAAGATCATAGGTACAGAGAAAAGATTGGTGGTTGCCAGAGTTGGCAGGGTGGGCAAAATGGGTTAAGGGAGTCAAAATGTACAAACTTCCAGTTACAAAATAAATGAGCCAAAGGGGATATAATATACAGCATGGTGAATATAGTTAATAACACTGTATTGCTTATTTGAAATTTACTAACAGAGTAAATCTTTAAAGTTCTCATCACAAGAAAAAAATTCTGTGACCATATACACTGACAGATGCTAACTACACTTATTGTGGTGACCATTTCACTATATGAGTATCAAATCGTTACGTTGTATGCCTGAAACTAATACAATAAATACATAAACAAGTAAAAGTAAGTGGTCTGAAAAAGATACACCAATCTCACATTAATCAAAAGAAAGCAAGAGTAGCTATATTGATTCTAAGCAGAAGACTTCAGAGCAAAATTATCCAGGATCAGGAGGAAGCATTACATTTTGATAAGGAGGTCAATTCCCCTACAAGACAAAGAAGTTCTTAACATGGTATGTCCTTAAACACAGCAAAATACATAAGGCAAAAACTGACAGAACTGCAAGGAGAAATAAATGAATCCACTTTTACATATAGTTGAGCCATTTCACTTTCCCTCTATCAGAAATAGATCCAGCAGGCAGAATCAGTAAGGACAATAAATGAACTAAACAATATCATCTATCAACTAGACATAATTGATATCTATAGAATACACATCCAACAACAGAATACACATTCTTCTCAAGCTCACATCATTCACCAAAACATTATGAGCCATGAAACACACCTGAACAAATTTAAAATAGAAAACCTACAATGTATGTTCTCAAACCACAACAGAGTAACAGAAAAATAGCTGAATAATCCCCAAATACTAAGAAATTAAGCAACAAACTACTAAATAATACATGGCTCAAAAAAGATATCTCAAAAGAAATTTTTTAATATTTTGAATAAAAAAATACTTCTCAAAATTTGTGGGATACAGCAAAAACATCACTCAGAGACTTTTTCTTTTTTTAAACATAATACAGCCCCCTCAGTGCTCACAGCACCCCAGTGAGGAAGCTGGGCAATGGTTTGGGGCTGCATGCTCCTCTAGCACAGGTATATGAGAGCCCCACAGAGAAGGGCCTGCCATCAATCCATTATCATGCACTAAAGAGAAATTTATAGCAATGAATGCATATATTAGAAAAGATCTAGAATCAATTATCTAAGCCTCCACCTTAGGAAACTATTAAAAAACCAAACAAAATAGGCAAAAAGTAAAAATTAAAAAATAATATGAAACACAATTAAGAAATACAACCAAAAAACCAATGGCTGATTTTTTGAAAATATCAACAAAAATCAATAAACATCTCATCAAGGTAACTTAAGAAAAAAGAGAACACAAATTACTAATACCAGAAATAAAAGAAGGGGGACGCCTGGGTGGCTTAGTCAGTTAACTGCTTTCAGCTCAGGTCACGATCCCAAAGTCCTGAGATGGAGCCTTGCATTGGTCTCCTTGATCAGGAGGGAGCCTGTTTCTCCCTCTGCCTGCCACTCCTCCTGCTTCTGCTCTCTTGCGCACTCTCTCTGCCAAATAAATAAATATAATCTTAAAATAAAAAAAAAACTCAGACAAGAAATAGATTACCTAAATAGACATATACCTATTAAAAAATTGAATAAATAATAATCTTCCAAAACAAAAAGCACCAGGTTCACTGAAGTCCACCAAACATTTAAAAAAAAAGATTATACCAATTCTCTACAATCTTTCAGAAAATAAAAACAAAGTAACTCTTAATTCATCTTATGAGACCAGCATTACCTTAATACCAAAACCAGAGAAAAACATTACAAGGAACTACAGACCAACATCACTCACAATCCACAGCTACAAAAGAATATTAGCAAACCAAGTCCAACAATGTATAAAAAGAATTATATGCCACGACCAAGTGGGATTTATCCCAGGTATGCAAGGCTGGTTCAACTTACAAAAATCAATTAATGTAATCCATCACATCAACAAGCTACAGGAAAAAAAAAATCTCATGATCACATCAATACATGTAGAAAAACATCTAACAAAACTCCACACTCATTTCCAATAAAATAAAAAAAAAAAAACCAATGCTCAGTACACCAGGAGCAGAGGCAAATTCCTCAACTTAATAAAGAATATCTACAAAAATGAACATCATATTTAATGGTAAGGAACTCAAAAGTTTTCTCGCTGAGATCAGGAACAAGGCAAGGATGTCCCCTCTCACCACTCCTTCACATCATCATACTGGAAGTCCTAACTAATACAGAAACACAAGAAAAGAAAAGATACACAGGTTGGAAAGGAAAAAATAAAATTATATTTGCAAAGAAAATCCAAAACTGATGAAAAAATCCTGGAAATAATAAGTTTGAAGGATACAAGCATAATACAAAAAAGTCAATCACTTTCCTATATACCAGCAATGAACAAGAGAAATTTGAAATATAAAACACAATACCATCTTACATTAGCACCCCCAAAAACGAAATGCAGGTGATCCTTGAACAATGTGGGAGTTGGGGTGCCAACCTTCTGCACAGCTGAAAATCCATATATAACTTTTGACTCCCCCAAAAACTTAACTACTAAAAGCTTGCTATTAAAACCCTTACCAAAAACATAAGGCAATTAACAGTCTGTACATATTATACGTTGCATTCTTACAATAAAACTAGAGAAAACAACATTAAGAAAATCATAAGGAAGGAAAAAAAATCGCAAGGAAGAGAAATTACATAACACTATATTGTATTTATAAAAAAAAATTCACATAGAAGTGGACACATGCAGTTTAAACCATGTTGTTCATGGGTCAACTGTAGTTATAAATCTAACAAAATATGTATAAGATCAATAAGAGGATAACTACAAAACTCTGATGAATGAAATCAAAGAACTAAATAACTGGAGACATTCCATGTTCATGGACAGGAAGATTTGATCTTAACAAGATGTCAATTTTTCCCAACTTCATCTACAGATTCAATGCAATCCCAATCAGAATCCCAAGAAGCTATTTTGTGGATATCAACAAAGTGATTCTAAAGTTTATACACAGAGGCAAAAAACCCAGAGTTGCACAATATTGAAGAAAAAAATCGGAAGGACTGACACTACCTGACTTCAATACTTACCATAAAGCTAGACTAATCAAAACAATGTGGTATTAGGTGGTCCCTTCCAAAGAGCTGATAATGTAGCAGAAGTGGAGAAGACGCACACCTTCCACAAGTTCACATACCGTGGCATGGACCTCAACCAGCTGCTGGACGTGTCCTAGGAGCAGTTGATGCAGCTGTACAGCGCCTGGCAGCAGTGGAGGCTCAACCGGGGTTTGTGGAAGAAACAACGCTCACTGCTGAAGCGCTTGTGCAAGGCCAAGGAGGAGGCTCCCCTGATGGAAAAGCCCAATGTGGTTAAGATGCACCCGTGGGACACAATCATCCTGCCTGAGATGGTGGACAGCATGGTGGGTGTCTACAATGGCAAGACCTTCGAACGGGGGGAAACCAAGCCCAAGATGATTCCCCACTATCTGGGTGAGTTCTCCATTACCTACAAGGCTGTGAAGTACAGCAGGCCTGGTACTGGAGCCACCCACTCCTCTACTTCATCCCTCTTAAGTAGCCTGTTCAGCCAATAAAGGCACAGACTTTTGGGGGAAAAAAAAAAAAAAGAATGTGTATTAGCAAAAATATAAACAAAATGGGACAGAACAGACAACTCAGAAATAGACCCAAATAAATACAGTTAACTGATTTCTGACAAAGCAAAGGCAATATAATGGAGGCAAATAGTCTTTCAACAAAGGGTGTTGGAACAATTGACATCCACAGGCAAAACCACAATAAAATAATAACACAGATCTCACACTCTTTACAAAATTTAACTCAAAATGAATCACAAAACTAAATGGAAACATAAAACTATAAAATTTCTAGAAGATAATGGGAGAAAATCTAAATGACCTCAGGTTTGGTGATGACTTTTTAGTACACAACACCAAAGGCACAATCCATGAAAGAACTGATATGCTGTATTCATTAAAATTAAAAATTTCTGTTCTGAAAAAAAGTTTGTTCTGCAAAAGACACTGTCAAGAGAATGAAGACAAGCTACAAAATGGAAAAAATATTTGCAAGAGATACATTTGAGAAAAGACTATTACCCAAAATACACTAATAATAAGAAAATGAGATTTAAAAATGAATCAATGATCTGGACACATCACCAAAAAATATATACAGAAATTAAGTATATAAAAAGATCCACATCAATTTGTTTTACTGCAAATTAAAATGAGATACCATTACATATGTATCCAAAAAGCCAATATCCACAACACTTAAATCACCAAATGATGGCAAGGCTGTGGTGCTAAGTAACTCTCATTCATCGCTGGTAGAAATGCAAAATGGTACAGACACTGTGGAACACAGTTTGGCAGTTTCTTACAAAACTAAACACACACACACACCCCAAAAACCTAACATATGATCTAGCAATAGTGCTTGGTATTTACTCAGAGGAGTTGAGAACTTAAGCCACCCAAAATCCTGCACACAAATGTTTTATAGTCAAATCTTCAAAGCAACCAAAATGTTTTTCAGTAGGTGAATGGATAAACTGTGGTACATGCAAACAAAAGATTACTATTCAGCACTTTAAAACAAATGAGCTATCAAGCCATGAACAGACATGGAGGAGACTTAGGTACACATTACTGAATGGAAAAAGCCAATCTGAAAAGGCTACATACTATATGATTCCAACTATATGATATTTCTGGAAAAGGCAAAACCATGAAGATACTAAAAAGATTAGTGGTTGCCAGGGACTAGGGGGAAGGATGAATAAGCAGAGCACAGAGGATTTTTAGTGCAATAAAACTACTCTGTGTGACACAATAATGGTAGATACATATCATTATACATTTATCAAAACCCACAGATCTTACAACACCATGAGTGAACCCTAAGGTAAACTACAGACTTTGGGTGACAAGGATGTGTCAAAACAGGTTCAACTGTTAACAAGTATACCACTCTGTGGGAAATACTGATAATGGGTGAGGCCAAGCACTGTGTGCAGGCAGGAGTATGTGGGGAATATCTGTACCTTCTGCACAATATTGCTGTGAACCTGTAACTGCTCTAAAAAATAATTTTAAGGGGTGCCTGTGTGGCTCGGTTAAGCATCTGCCTTCCACTCAGGTCATGATCCTGGAGTCCTGGATTGAGCCCTATGTCAGGTTCTGTGCTCTGCGTGGAGCCTGCTTCTCCCTCTGCCCCTCCCCACTCATGCTCTCTTTCTCTCTCTCTCAAAATAAAATCTTAAAAACAAAAAATAGTTTTAAAAAATTTAACTCTAATTCTCAACAAAGCGTCCTCATCAAAATGAATCCAACAGCATATTAAAAGTATTATACACCCAATATATGACCAAATGGGAATTATCCCAGGAATGCAAGATGGTTCAATTAAAAAAAAAAATCGAGAATACATTTTAACAGAAAAAAATGATTTCAACTGCTGCCAAAAGAAAAATTTCACAATATTCAACATCTGTTCCTAAAAACTCTCAGAAAACAAGAATACAAGAATTCTCTCAGAAAACTAAGTATAACTTCAATATGATAAAGGCCATAAATGAAAAGCTCACAGCTAACATCATACTCAATGGTAAAAGACTTAAGGCTTTCCCCCTAAGATCAGGAACAGCTTTTACACACTTCTACTCAACATTGTATTGGAAGTTCTTGTCAGAGCAATTAGAGAAGAAAAAGAGATAAGCTTCCAAATTTCAAACAAAAAGAAGATGTAAAACTATCTCTCTTCACAGATGACACGATCCTAGATAGAGAAAATCCTGAAGAATCCATAAGAAAACCACTAGAGCTAAGAAACTAATTCAGTAACATTCCAGGGTACAAGATCACCACACAAAAGTCAGCTGTGATTCTATGCACCAACAATGAAATGAATAATCCAAAAAATGAATTAAGAAAGCAATTCCATTTACAATAGCATCTAAAAAAGTAAAATACCTGGGTGACAAATTTAACCAAGGAGAACACTGTGCACTGAAAATTACAAAACACTGTTGAAACAAATT